GATGTTTCTCCGAAAAGATATTCCTCAAAAAGAAATTTCCCAACAAGATGTCTTCTCGATTGAACAAAATTGAGTGAAATGGTATTTATACCTTTTTTCGAGGTATCAGGTGACCCAGAATTTATAAAAATAGCTGTAAATTCGGTGAAACATCCTTTGTAAAAGAGCTATCAGTAATATATTTTTAAAGAAATAGAATGTCAAAAAAATGTACCATTCGGAAAAATGGCATGTCAGTAAAATAGACATTCATCTTTTTAATATTCGGTGAAATGGAAATTGCAGATAAATGTCTTATCAGTAAATTATCAATTAAATGATATTTCGGTAAAATGAGACGTTGGAATTGTCTTGTTAGTAAAATGGGATGTCAGTATTACTTCGGTGAAACAGTATCTCAGTAAAATTGATTTCGGGAAGTTAACCCGTACCCATCCTATTTTACTAACTAGTCATAATTCATTTTATAATTTAATTGATAATAATTTACTGATAAGTCATTTATCTGCAATTTCCATTCACGGAATATTAAAAGATGAATGCCTATTTTACTGACATGCCATTTTTCCGAATGGTACATTTTTCTGACATTCTAATTCTTTGAAAATATATTACTGAAAGCTCTTTTACCGAAAGATGCTTTACCGAATTTATAGCTATTTTTATAAATTCTAGGTCACCTGATAACTCAAAAAGTTATAACCGACAACCATTTCACTGACAGCCATTTCGCCGATAAAGTTAGGCTGCTTTATGTTAAGGTTGGCCTGATTTATGTAATTTTGTTCAATTTGAGAACATATCGGCTGATTTGGATAAGAAAATCCGATCTTCCAAGATTAGAGTGCGTCAATTATATATAATTTCATATTTCTAATGAGATGCATCACTGGGAAGATTGGATTTCCTTATCAAATTAGCACATATAGACATCTTTTCGGGGAAACATCCTTTCGAGTAAATTTATCATAAAATATTTATCAGTGAAAAGGCTTCGGAAAAAATTCTTGTCGGAGGGTACAGGAGCTCAGCGAAAGGGTTTGTCGGTGAAAATTCTATTGAATAAAATTTTTTCAAAAGTTCAGGTTGTCAGGGAATTGGGAAAAGTATACTTTCAGAAATATGTCTTGCCAGGAAAAAGGGATATCGGAATTGTAGTATGAAATAGCACCTGAGTGAGAATTAATGCAATTTTTATTATGCATTAGCTTAATAAAATATTGAGATTTAAAATCAAGAACTAACGCTCTAAAAATAGATTATGTGAACTTGTTTGTACAAAACCTTATAATATCATAAATGAATAAAAAAATATGGAATTGAAATTCCATGCAACATTGACATTATTGTGACCTCTGCAGATCACGATATTGTAATAATTGGAGATTCTGTAGATTTTAAGAACTCTGTCGATTTATAGCGCTTTTCAAAAAGATGTGAACCCATAATTATGATGATCGAGGAAAATTTCCGAGAATCTAAATTTTCCATTAATCATATTTTCAATTGGTTGTATTTATTCAAAATCGGTAAAATTCTTAAAATCTAAAGAATCTCCAATTCCCAAATGACATCGTAATCTGCAGAGATCACATTTTTTTGAAAGCGCAATAAATTTGACATGGAACAAAATTGTACAATGTGTTAATAAGAACCAAGATTTTAATTACCTCAAAGTTGGTTAGAAAAAGCCAAAAAGGTTTTTTTTAGTCCATTCACTATTTCTGTATTTTTTCGAACAATGATAATAAATTGAAAATGACCAATTGCATGAATGCAAGGATTGACAATCAGGATTTACAGGTCTATAAATCTAATTTTAGATCGCTTCTAATCGTATATGGCATTTAAAAAAATTAAGTATTGGTATATATCGACAAATATTTTATTATGTAGATAGATACTTTAAATGTTAATAATATAGAATATATTTTTGCAACAGAATTCATTCTCAATTTTTCTTTAACGTAATAAACTACGTGTCCAGGAGCTTGTTTATTTTATGTAAGCACATTTACGGTTAAAATATTCTCCACTAAGGCTGTTCAAAGTTGATTATGGGAGATGGTTTAATTTTCTAGTGATCGTGGTTTACCAATAAAATAATGTATTACGACTTTCTGCCCATACAGCGCAAACGCTAAAACTTTTATAAACAAATTTTTTTTCAGAAAAAAACCGGTCGATATTTTATACACAACAAAGTTATCAGTTGGTTTTTTGAAAATTCTATAGGCGATTCGAAAGAAAGACCAACCTACAAATTGGTATGACTCTTTATATAAGAATTTTTTTTTTAAAAAAAACTGACCGATAACTTTGTAGAAAATAGTTCTATGTATAAAGTTATCAATCTGTTTTTTTTTTTAAAAAAAAATTTATCTGTAAAAATTTTAACGTTTTAAAAAAAAAGAAATCCGTGCTTTTGGGATTTTGGCAGATCTCCATTTCACCGACAAACTGTCTATAACCAAGCGCTAACTATAAAACAGTCAATCCTAACCCTAAATCAGACCAAATTTGTCGACGAAATAACTGTCAGCGAAATGGTTGTCAGCGCAGTATGTGCTGAATGATTTTTTTTAGAATCATTGATCGACTTTAGTCGCATGTTTATTGAAGATTGTGTGATTGGTTTGTTTAACTTCTGCTAGCCGGGTTGACGTTAACAACCACTACCGTATTCAACTTCGAATGACCTAATTAAAATTTAATTCCTTACACGTTCGACCCATTAATTAGGCACTTGAGAACATCCTAAAACATTTTAATGGGATTGTCAATATTTACAACGATGAAATTTGTTATGCTTTGTAAGCGACTTAAGCGATTTACAAGCAATTCGTATACTGTATTAGAAATTAATAATTAATCAAATACAATTACGTAATAATATTTAATAATTAGATCAAATCTATGTACAATGAACCAATTGTTTTTTCCTATCAAAAAGCGTTATAAAATTTTATGCAAGAAACCTTTCTATTTACGATAACAATTCGCAATATTTTATTATTCACATACTATGTGTAGAGTTGTTAATTGGAGTATCATAACTTCAGTTTGAACCCAAACCAGACCGGAATGGGCTATAAAATATGTTAAATAATATTTAACCTAGTTTGCTAAACTTGAGACAAGACTGGAGTAATGTATTAGAATTTAATATTCCAAACTGGTTTGAGTTGAGACTACCCATTAATATCCCTTTAGTTTATTTATTAGTAGCATTGCCACCCATCTTGCCGATATTTAAGGCGAACTATGCAATAATATATTCTTTACTCAATTAGTAAGTAGTAACCTTTTTAAATTGAATTTGACTTTTGTGAAAAAAAAAATCATGTTGCGCAGTAAATTATTTTCATGCGATTTTCAAATGAAATTATATATTGACTTAACTTTAAAATACTTTAAAACTCCAAATCACATAAATAGCTCTTAACTGCCAAACTCATTAAATAGTCACTACATAGAAACCTACCTATATGCAGTACATCTCAAAAAAATATACATTTAAAGAAAAATACATTTACAGAAATAATTTTTTTTTATGCACACTGTATATCTGGACCAGATGAGAATGAGAAAATAAATACAGTATCATTTTAATTATTTATAGGTTTTTTTGTAAATTTAATATATTTGATTTTTTTTATACAAATATTTATTACATAACTTTTTAAAAATTTTCTTTTTAATAAAGGATTTTTAATGCCTATAGCAACATATAAGTAAATAAATATAGAAAATAATATAATATAATATAATAAATAATACTGTACAAATGAAACAACTAAATAAATAAATTGAATATATAGAACTTGGCCAAGATATGATTTGAATTGTATCATTGGGCAAAACGTTAAATTTACTACTTGTAAACGTTTATATAAAGTTCCAAATCCAGTAATACAAGTTCATTACTTAATTCATCAATATTGTCATTTTCATTATTATTTAAAATCAAAGAGATATCACTATCAATTTTATAAATACAAGGAGAATCTACTTTAACAAAATCTAATAATGAAGTACCAAAAACATATTCTTTATAAAATAGATTAAGTTTTTCTAAATGACTAGCTCTTTTTTCTAAATCATTGAGCTTTTTTTGAATTAAAGAATTTATAGT